AAACCAAAGCAATTTACCCCAGTGAGGGGCACATCACCAATGGCCTAAGACCTCTCATTAGGCCCCACCTCTTAAATGTTCCACCAACTTTCAGTACCACCAAGCTGGTGACTAAGTTCTAACCACATGGATTTTGCAGATTATTCAATGACCTAATACAGCATCAACTCATGTTTCCCACCCAATGTGAAAACAATAGGCCACAGAAAATAAAAATAAAGAAAATTATCTCAAACTATAAAGCAGTCTCTGAGTATAAGCAGTGGTCTTTGTCTGTTAGTTTGGTGCTTGCTTTTGTTTTTTGGTGGTCGTGGGTTTTGAATTCATGGCTTCATGCTTGCTACACGGACATTCTACCGCTTGAGCCATACTCCAAACCCATTTTGCTATAGTTCTTTTGTTTTTATTGAGAGGGTCTCTCACTTTTGTTTGGGGTCGGCCTCAGACTATGATATTTCTATCTGTGCTTCCTGATCTATCTACCAATTCATCCTACGGAGCTGGGATTGTAGGTATATGCCACCACAGTCAGTCATGAGAAGAATTCTTAAAAGATCATTGTTAGTGCCAGGCACCAGTAATTAATGGCTATAATCCCAGCAACTCACGAGGCTGAGATCTAGAGAACTACAGTTCAAAGCCAGCCTGAGCAGAAAAGTCTGTGAGACTTTGTTTTCAAAATCACCAGTAAAAATGGCAGGGCTGGAGGCATGGCTCAAATGGTAGAGTACCAGCTGAGCAAGTAAGCCAAGCAAGCTCAAAACTGAATTCAAAGCTCAGTACTACCAAAAAAAAAAAAAGAATGGTTGTTGGAAGGACTAGGCATCACACCTGTAATTCCAGCACTTAGAAAGTGACTCCAAAGGGTCAAAAGCTCAAGCCTGGCTACCCTGGAACTGCAAGGAGAGATTTGTCTCCAAATAACAATAACAACAACAAAACATTGGTTTGGAGGTACAGGTGAATAAAGTCAATGTCCACAAAGGGTTAACTCATTTTGTTACTTTTGTTTTTCCACTGCTATTATTCCAATTTTCCTTTTGGTCGATAAGTCTCTGCTAGAATAGTTTCATGAGTTTTCTGCTTCTACCTCTATCATTGGCTTAAAAAAATGTTCCTTGAAGATAGAAGATCCTAATTCCTGAAGCCCTCAAACATTACTCTATAATGGACAAGAGCCTCTGATTGTGTGGTGAAGTTAAGGGCCTCAAGATGTAGAAAATATCTTAGATTAGCCAGATGAGTCCTAGATATAATCACATGTGTCCTTGTAAGAGGGAAGCGATGGGAAATCAAACATATGGAGTTGGTGGCAATTAGGGAGTAGAGTGATATCTGAAGATGCTAGCCTTGAACAGAATTGATGTGGCCACAAGCCAACGAATGCCAGCAGCCTCTAAATGCTGTAAGAGTCAAAGAACTGATTCTCCCCAGAGTCTGTACAGGAAACAGAACCTCATCGAGGTTTGATTTGGGTTCAGTGATACTATATTTGAACTTAGACTTCCAGAAATGTGAAGGAAAATTTGGTGAGACTAGTATATTATACCCAGGGTCTTGATTTAATGATATCTATCATACAAACTGTCTAAACACTCACCTGTTATTCTGTATACCCTGTATACTTTGTGCTATGGTCTGGACATGGTTTGAGTGTGTTAGCCCAATGAGCGCCCTTTCCTTAGCTTAGCACACTCCTTCCCGTTTCCACAGCTTATCATGCTCCTTTCTTAGGCAACGCTAGCCCATTTAGTAAAGGCAGTAAATAATCAACCTCCTGGGCTGGGAAGGTGGCTCAGTGGTAGAGCGCTTGCCTTGCATGCCTGAGGCCCTGGGTTCGATTCCTCAGAACCACATAAGCAAAAAGAATAAAGCCAGAAGTGGCGCTGTGGCTCAAGTGGTAGAGCGCTAGCCTTGAGCTGAAGAGCTGAGGGACAGCGCGCAGGCCCAGAGCTCAGGCCCCACGACTGGACCCCCAATAATCAGCCTCCTCCACCTGGGAATGACTGCCTTGGGGCAGCTACCACCATAGAAGGCAACAAGAGCCCCTTAGAGTGACCTTCAGGTCTGGGCAGCCGCAGGACCCTTATCTACTCCTTGGGCAGCAGCCATGAATCCTACTCTACCATGATCAAGCCGCTGGTCCTCACATCTGCACCAGGGTCTTCACCTCCTAGCCCCTTCTAGCCCCTCCTAACCTCAGCAGGTTATATATAGATCACCTCAGACAAAAGCCAGCACTTCTCACTTCTCCTTTGTGAGAAGGGTTCTTGCCAGTCCCTTTACCAGCAATAAACCTTTTCTTTGTTCTTTGTACCTGCATGTCTGCATGGTTTTCTGGCAAAGTCTAAAATACTCTAACAGAATGTGTCCCCCAAAGATTTCTATGGTGAAATTTAATTTTCATTGTGGATAATAAAGGAATGAAAACTTGTCTGACTGTGTCTAAAGGTGGAGGCTTTGAAAGATGATTAGGTAAAGAGGCTAGGAGACTGGAGTCCACATGATTGGAGTGATTTTACAGTAAGAGACCAGAAACATACAGACACACGCACATGGGTATGCCAACACTCACACACCACACACAAACACACACATTTGCCATTGGATGTCTTCACTATCTTGGGACTTGGCCAGCAAGAAGTACATCACCAGATGTGAGTCCTCACCTTTGGAAGAGAACCATGAGTAAAAAATAAAACTCTTTTCTTCTCTAAAATCACTTTACTGATTTATTTATTGCAGGACAGGGGTTTGAACTCAGGGCCTCATGCTTGCTAGTCAGCTGTCCTACCTGTTTCCTTTATAAGTCTTTTCTTTCCTTTATAGTTTACTAAATCTGTGGTATTGTTATTAACAATACGAAAAAAAGACTAATATTCCTCACTGCATTTCAGAAAAGATTTATGGTAGTTTATGTAGATTCAGAAAATATACTGGTAATACAAATAATAAGTGAATGGATAAATATAAATAATGGATAAAGAAAACGGAGCCAAAGATAAAGAAAAGAAATGAAAAGGGCGCCAACAAGGGAATGCAAATAGAGCAGTCACTCCATACACACACACACACACACACACACACACACACACACACACACACACACACACACACACACAAACACACAGACAACACCAACTCCATAGAAACATAAAAGACAAAGTGCAACTTTACCCAAGAATTCTGCTACCCAGAACATTTTTTGGACTGTAATTATGAATAAGATTCTCATTACACTCAAGGAAAATGTAACTACAATCACTCGACTCAAGTTTATATGACTGTTAGCTCTACCATGGGTAAAGCTTAGAACTTGATAAAGCAGGATGGACAAAGGGAAAATGAGGTACAGTCGGCTTACAGTAAATACAGGGGATATTCCTTCGTGTACTTCCCTTAAAATTAAGGAACCAAAGTCATTTAGGGGAAAATGAAACAGGATAACTTAAGGAAACAGAGGCCTGGTGAAGGCTACTCAGGAATATGGTATTTAGAAACACAGAAGTGCCCATTTTTGCTTCAAAGAGAGACAACCAGGATACATTCCTCCCTGAGAAAATTGCTTCTCCAAACTTAAGCCACCTCCTGTTCCAAATGCAGATAGCAGGGCACCTCCTTAGCTCAGGATCTGTTTAATGGCAGGACCCTTTTTTTTTCTTTTTTTTTTTTTGTCGGTTGTGGGGCTTAAACCCTGGGCCTGCGCGCTGTCCCTCAGCTCTTCAGCTCAAGGCTAGCACTCTGCCACTTAAGCCACAGCACCACTTCCAGTTTTCTGGTTAATTGGAGATAAGAGTCCCACAGACTTTCCTGCCTAGGCTTGCTTAGAACCATGCTCCTCAGATCTCAGCTTCCTGAGTAGCTAGGATTACAGGAGTGAGCTACCTGGCTTACAAAGCATTCTTACCTGGAAACTCAGAACACCAAGTGTGATCAGAGCAAAGACAAAACACCTATCTTTGCATAACTTTGAAGCCAGACCCCCTTGCTTTGCCATATAAATACCCCAACAGCCAAAGAGTTGTGTGTCTGTGTGTGTTTCTTTGTATCTATCTCCCTAAGAGAGCACACACATCCTGTTAGTGTGCCCCTGCCCTTCTATCTGCATGCATGTCAGGTTACCTGCTTACTTACTTACTCAATAAAGCTCTACCAAGCTCTTACCATCATGATTTGTCCAGAAATTATTCTGCGATCCGAAGCCAAGGACCCTAGGTGAAGAGTTCCTACATTTAAAGGGAAACTTCACTAAACCTCACTTTTGTCCGGTGACAGTAACTACAAATTCTCTAAGAGGAGAATGGTTGTTAACCGTCTCCCTACTGAGATCCCTAGATTCCAAGGTACCTGGAAGAGTATTTATTTACCTAAGCCTTGAATTTAGGTGCTGGCTTCACCACCAAATTATCAAGTATTCATTAAGCGTTGTATACAAGGCCTGCAAAATGTGGATGGCAGGTTCTAGATAACCACTAGACGAGCCAGGTAAGCTTCCCATCCCAGTTCCCGGAAGAACCTTCCTGGCCCCTGGGGTGGGGGTCGGCGGCCCCCACTGGCAGGGACAAGCCAGGCCCCGCCAGTGCGTCAGCCCGGATGGGGGCGGTGGGCCTGAGCTTCAAGGATGACAGATGGGTGGAAGACAAAGGGAACGGGCCTCGGAATAGATCAGAAGGACTTCTTCGGCCCCTATGGAAAGAAAAAACCAACAACAAAAGTCGGCGGCCCCTGCGGGACCCGGTAGGAAAGCCTTCACTGCCTCGGCCCCAGGCCGGCACAACACACGACACTCGGCCCCCACGCCCACTTTCCCTCAATGCCACGCCTCCAAGCACTGCGCAGGCGTCGAAGTAGGACCCCCCCCCCTTTCCGCTCCCCCCACCCAATTTTCCTCGAAGCCCCGCCCTAAGAGAGGAAGCTAGTCATTCCGGGTCGTTACCAGGGCTGTACTCTAGCCGCCACACTTCCGTTTCTCTAACTACTCTTTGCATTGGTGGCCGGGAGCTTGGAGCGGGGTAGGGGGCGGGTCTTCCGGAACGGGAGGCGCGTGCGCAGGAGAGGCAGGTCAGGAGCAGGTAAGGTGGCTGGAGACTTTTCGGGACGTTGCGGGGAGCCGGCGGCCGAGGCGCTAGAGCTCCTGCGGGGTCTCCAGGACGGATCATCCTGTGTGTGTCTCCCACACCCAGGCCCTCCCCGCGCCCTTCGGCGCATTTGCAGGACTCGGGGCAGGCGCGTCACACGCGGGTCCGCCACCGGAAGCTCCGGCCGGGCCGGGGCGCGGCGCGGGCCCCGGGCTTCCACCTCTCCCTTCCCTCAGGGCGTGCGCGCTGTCCCTGAGCGTCTTTGCTCGGGACTCTACCACTTGATGTGTGTGTGTGTGTGTGTGAGAGAGAGAGAGAGAGAGAGAGATTAATTGGAGTCTCACGGGCTTTACTGCCCCAGCCTTTTCTTGGGCCTCGACCCTCCGATCTCAGCCTCTTTCTTGAGTAGTTAGGATTACAGGCGTGAGCCGTCAGCGCCCAGCTAGAAGGACGGTTTTCAGTGACTGCTTTGCACACCTTAAAATAGTGTTTAAGTGAATCAAAATGTTACTGTCATGTAAATTATCTTTAACACCATTATTAGGACATCAGGTTTGTTTTTTAAGATAAAGTTGAGTTTATGAAGAAGCACAACCAGTACTAAAGTTTTTCTTTTACTTTTTGAAATCAGTAAAAAGTGGCAATCGGTCAGTCTTAGAAACCTATACTCAAGACACCAGAATTTTTTGGCCTGTTTTTAAAACAAAAATCCGTATCCGACTCCTGTCATGAGCACTGATGGCTCATCCCTGTAATCTTAGCTACCCTGGACGCTGGGATCTGAGAATCGAGCTAGACCAGTCAGGAAAGTCTGAGAGACTTACCTCCAATTAACCACAGGGAAACAGCAAGTGGCCCTGGGCTCAAAGTGGTAGAGTACTAGCCTTGAGCAAAATTGCTCAGGGACATTACCTGTGGGCCTGAGTTCAATCCCAGTATCCAAAAAAAAAAAAGTATACTGAAAACCAGTGGTGTTGGTAATTATAAGTACTCTCAGTTTCCCTGTTCAGCAAATAAGTGGCTCTTTTCTTCTAATAAAGGATTCCATTTGAAAAGGCTTATTCCCATTGTCTTTAATAAAAACTTGGGGACTTGGGTTTTTTGTTGTTGTTGTTGTTGGTTGTAAGGCCTGAACTCTGGGCCTGGGTGCTGTTCCTCAGCTCTTCAGCTCAAGGCTAGTGCTCTACCACTTGAGCCACAGTGCCACTTCTGGCTTTTTCTTTTCTCTTTTTTTTTGGGGGGGGGGGTCCGGTTGTGGGGCCTGAACTCTGGGCCTGGGCGCTGTCCCTCAGCTCTTCAGCTCAAGGCTAGCACTCTACCACTTGACCCACAGCGTCAGTTCCAGCTTTTTTCTTTTTGCTTATGTGGTGCTGAGGAATCGAATCCAGGGCCTTGAGCATGCAAGGCAAGCGCCCTACCACTGAACCACCTTCCCAGCTCACTTCTGGCTTTTTCTGCTTATTTGGTGCTGATAGTTACGGTCCTTCTTCCTACCTGTCAGGTTCTTAGGTGCTGGTCCCTCTGCTATTTTTTTGTGGCTATAAGGCTTTGTAGGAGAAAAGTATAATTGTAATGTGCATCATCCCGCCCCATGCACACATACACACCCTCTTTCAGGCATAATTAATGACAAAAATGAATTAACAAATGTGTTTGAGTGGAATATTTGAACAAAGAGATTTAAGAATTTTCTTTTATGGTATCATTTACTGAATACCTTTGTCTTGTTCATTTCTTACATAGCCCATGCAAGCTTGTTTTCAGAAAAAGGATACTTAGGATAGATAACTGTTCAAAACAGCACAGGTAGTAAAGGGCAGAGGCAGTACTCAAAGCTAGGTCTCAAGACTTCCTGTAGCCTATATTTTTTAAAAAATGGTTCGGGGCTGGGAAGTTGGCTCAGTGATAGAATGCTTCCCTCGCAAGCATGAGGCCCTGGTTTCAATTCCTTAGCACCACATAAGCTGAGAAAAGCTGGAAGTGGTGCTGTGGCTCAAGTGGTAGAGCGCCTTGAGCTAAAAAGTTGAGGGACAGTGCCCAGGCCCAGAGTCCAGCCCTCACGACCGACCAAAAAAATGGTTTGGAATTCAAGACAAATTTTCCTGTAAAATGAGAATATTTCCAGAAAGGCTTAGAAGTATCTGTGGAGAAAGATTTTTTTTTTTTGGATCCGGTCGTGAGGCCTGAACTCTGGACCTGGTCGCTGTCCCTCAGCTCTTCAGCTCAAGGCTAGCACTCTATCACTTGAGCCACAGTGACACTTCCGGCTTTTTTCTTTTTTCTTATTTGGTGCTGAGGAATCGAACCCAGAGCCTCATGCATGCAAGGCAAGCTTTCTACCACTCAGCCACCTTCCCAGCCCTTGGAGAAAGATTTCTAATCTATATTTGTGATCATAACTTTATAGTGATTAATTGGATATAAGAGTTTCATGAACTTTCCTGCCTGGACTGGCTTTGAACTGCAATCCTCTGATCTCAGCTTATAGAGCAGCTAGGATTACAGGTGTGAGCCAGCAGTGCAATAATGGAATAGGAAGCACTGTCCTAGAGAGAACTGATTAAAGTCACAAAATGCTCATTTGTGATGGTGTTTTAAATAAAATTTCATCAGTGGTAAAAAAAAATGTTAAAGTATCTGTGGAAATACTGTGCAATTGCACTAAAAATCTAGATTTTTTTTTTTTTTTTGGTCCAGTTGTGGGGCCTGAACTCTGGGCCTGGGCACTGTCCCTCAGCTCTTCAGCTCAAGGCTAGCGCTCTACCACTTGAGCTACAGCACCACTTCCGGCTTTTTTTTTCTTTTTGCTTATGTGGTGCTGAGGAATCAAACCCAGGGCCTCAGGCATGCAAGGCAAGCACTCTACCACTGAGCTACCTTCCCAGCCCCTGCACTAAAAATCTATTCTGATGCCATATGGTAATTAATTAAAACAAGGCAAAGTTAATGAAACAATTTTTTTGTTAATTTTTAACCTGGTATTTGGAAAATGGTATTTTAAGGTAGAAGAAAGAGTTAGCATGCAATGAAACTTTGTAGCTTCTGAGGGTGACTTTTAGACATTTCCAACTCTCCCAACTTTATAGTTACTGTTAACTTTCGTTACTGATTTCTATTTAAACATTATAGTTAGTGACCTTTTTTTCAATGATAAAAATAAAACCCTAGTCCTAACAGCACCAGTGTTAATCCACCTGAATCCACACAGTGGAGCAAGGGTGAGGGGATTGCATGGTGGAAAAGGCAAAGCAAAAAACAAGGCTTGTATGTGATCTCCATATAGGGGCTACAGAGACTTGATTCTGACAGTTCGCCCCTTGCTGGCCTGTAGGTGGCAATGCTGACCTAATAGTGATTGGTTGGTGTTGAAATGGTAAATGGTTTGTGGTTTGATATTCTGCAGTTGGTTGAATTCAGGTCAGCTGCTCTTGTAATGAATCTTGAAATGGACAGTAAACCTCCTTAAACACTGAGTTCATTCTCTTGAGCACTGTTTTGAAATTTTATCAAGCAAATATAGAGCTCTTGGCCCAACACCAGATCGGCATCTTAGCCGATATGTGGAAGTCTTTTGATGTATTAATCTGGTCTAAATACTATTTAAAGGTATGTATAAATATTTTAAGAAGTTATTCTGGCAGCTTTTCCTAGGTGCTGTGTGTGTGGTGTGTGTGTGTGTGCATTATTTTCAAGATTGGTTTATCCACAGATGCCAGTTTTCCTAGGTGCTGTGTGTGTGTGTGGTGTGTGTGTGTGTGTGTGCATTATTTTCAAGATTGGTTTATCCACAGATGCCAGTTTTCCTAGGTGCTGTGTGTGTGTGTGGTGTGTGTGTGTGTGTGTGTGTGCATTATTTTCAAGATTGGTTTATCCACAGATGCCAGTTTTCCTAGGTGCTGTGTGGGGTGTGTGTGTGTATTATTTTCAAGATTGGTTTATCCACAGATGCCAGTGGCATCAGCTAGCAACTTAGTTTTTATTAAGGTCTTGATTCAGAAATAACAGGAAACTTCTTAAGCTGTTGATCTTTATTTAAGCTGTTGCATGTTATTTCTATAAAACTACTGTCTGTTTTTCCCATGTGGCTCTCAGTCTCTAGGCAGAATTCAATCCAGTAACTTAGAGGCCAAATGACCTCATAACTCATTAGTAGTTCTCAGAGCCATCTGGTGCCCCGGAGGGGAACAGTGTTCAAAGGACTGATGAGAAAGACAGCAGCATAATTTTTTCTTTGCCATGATTATACCTTTAGATGGCAGGTAGTCAGCATATTTATTTACAGATTGCTTAGGTGGTTGTTTTTGAAAGGTGTAATGACAATGCTGAGGTAGAAGAACTTGTTTCCCTGTCCTCTTCATCAGCCTGCAAATAAGTGAACTAACTACCAGTAAATAACTTACTGCATTACAAAATAGGTCATTGTAAAAGGGGCACCACAGCAAGGAAACAATAGTGCGTGAAGGTAAACATGGAGCTTGCAAAGGAAATAGCTCTCAGAACTGTGGCTGTTTCTCTTCCAAAGCACGTCCTGCTAATAGTACACACTGATTCATGTGTGACTTATATTTTCTTAAAAAAAAAAAAGCCCATTAGATAATCTTAGAATTTCTCACCCTCACATGTTTATCTCTCTTCTTACTTGCTGTATAGGGAATTTGCTCCTCAATGCTCAAGAAATGTCTTCACTCTCAGAATATGCATTGCGCATGACTCGTCTGAGTGCCCGGCTCTTTGGTGAAGTTGCCAGGCCTACGGATTCCAAATCCATGAAAGTGGTGAAACTGTTCAGTGAACAGCCCCTGGCCAAGAGGAAGGAGACTTACGACTGGTATCCAAGTCACAACACATATTTTGCGCTCATGGGCACACTCCGTTTTCTTGGCCTTTACAGGTGATGACACCCCCCCCCAAAAAAAGAGGGAACTGGAGGATATTTTTTTCCCCAGCCCTGGGCCTTGAACTCAGGGTCTGGGCACTGTCCCTTTGCCTCTCTACTCAAGGCTAGTGCTCTATTACGTGAGCCACAGCGCCACTTCTGGCTTTTTCTGAATAGTTTTATTAGTGACAAGATTCTCATGGACTTTTCTGCCCCGCTGGCTTTGAATGGCAGTCATCAGATCTCAGGCTCCTGAGCAGCTAGGATTACAGGCATGTGCCACCTGAGCCCAGCTTGGAGGATATTTTTATATCCTTTATATTAAGAGTTTTGTGGATCTTATTAGAGAGCCAGGTCATTCAAAAGGTATAATTTATGAGGGAAAGATTTCTTTCAGAATATCCATAATGAGCACACTGGGGGAAAAACAACAACAAAAGCACTAGACACATGCTTGTTGGAATATTTTAGACATATTATAGTTATGTATAAAACATGAGTGATGTTGAGTTGATACTGAGCTTTGGGGCAATGTTTAATAATTGATTAACCTAAGAGCACTAGAGAAAGACTACCAAGAGCAAAATGGATGCAAATGCTATGGAAGAAAACACCGGGAACACCAGGGTTGCCAGGGGTTCTTGGTGTCAGCTGAACAGAGTCCCTGCCTACACCTGATCTGCCTCCTAGCCAGTGTGTGGGAGCCTCCTTTCTCTGCTGATGCCAGTGTTGTTAGCATTGTTATTTCTTCCCACTCATTTCTGGCATTTTTGTAGCTTTTCAATATATGAATTTGGTTTAAATTAGCTATAATTCCCAGTAAGAGTAATGTATAAATCACATAGGCTCTTAACACCATGCTTATGTGTTTGGGTAGACCTAGGACTATATGCCTATCTAGAAAGAAAAAAAGATCAAATACCTGTGTGATGATTTTTCTTTAAAAAAAAATAAAAAATAAAAGTTGCTGGGGGCTGGTGGCTCACACCTGTAATCCTAGTACTCAGGAAGCTGAGATCTGAGAATCGCGATTCAAAACCAACTGGGGCAGGAAAGTCCATGAGACTCCTATCTCCAATTAACCACCAGAAAACTGGAAGTGGTGCTGGCTCAGAGTGGTAGAATGCTAGCCTTGAGCAGAAAAGTTCAGGGACAGGATCTAGGCCCTGAATTTAAGCCCCACAACTGATATACACAGAATATTCTTAGTTAAAATATTATTAGAAATTATACTCCATGACCTATTTTGAATGTCTGGAATTACTTGGGTCTATGTCTCTTACCATTAATCTGGGCTCAGAAAATAAAAACTGATTGAGTATAACCTGTAACTAATCATACTCAATTATTGAACATATCTGTTTCCTGCCATTCCATTTGAAGAATGATTATGGAGACCAGGGGGAAAACAGTGAACAGTTATCCCTGGAAAAGCAAAATTATTTTTATGAGCATTCAAAAGCAACCACCTTAATTAAGCTAGACAGACCCTTCAGTAAACTCCATTCAAAGACCTGCAAAGAGGAAGCACAGTTTCTCAAAATAATTGATCCACTTACTTAAACAGGTTCTAGGTTTTTAGCGTCAATGGAAACAATGTCCCTGCCTTGTGGGGCTGTTCGCTTGTTTGTTGTCCAAAGGTTGAAAAAAATAGGGGAAGGAAGAAAGAAAGGCGAACAAATCATAGTAAGTGAATTATGTGCTGTAAGGGAAAAGGCAGAGCTGGCTGAGCTGGATCCAATGTGCTGACAGAACCTGTGGTGGGTGGAGAGGGTTGTTACCACATGAAATGGGACTGGACAGTCAGGGCCAGCCCCAGTGAGGGAATGAGATTTAGGCAGGGCTTAATTTAAGGTAGTGGAATGAGCCACAAGACACCTAGGTAGGGAAGAGACAAGAGAAGGCCTTCGGGCAGGAGTGTGCCTGGAATCACCCAAAAGAAGTGTAGGGTTGGGACCCTGAGAAGACCAGAGGCAGGTGTTGAGAGTCTGAATACTATCATAAGTAATAGGGTTTTCATTCTAGAGAAAAGAGATCTGCCGAGAGCGTCTCACACCTGTAATCCTACCCACTCAGAATTCTGAGAGCTGAAGATCCAGGTTCAAAGGCCACCCAGGCAGAAAAATGAAACTCATCTCCAGTTAACAACCAGAAAACCAAAAGTAGCTCTGTGGCTCAAAGTGGTAGAGCACTAGCTCTAACCAGAAGAGCTCAGAAACAGCACCCATTCCCTGGGTTCAAGCCCCATGACCGCCAAAAGAAGAAAGAAAGGAAATAGGAGATCTGGCTTATTTTACTTAAATGATTATCTTCATTTCAATCTAGTTTCTGCAAGTGACAACATTTCATTCACTTTGATGGCTGAGTAATATTCCCTGTGTGTGTATACATACATATATGTGTGTATACATTTGTGTGTGTGTCATATTGTCTATTCATTGGTTAAAAGGCACCTAAGTTGATTCCATAGCTTGGCTACTATAAATAGTGCTATAATCAACATGGGAGTACAGATATTTCCATTGTGTGCTGACATATTCCTTTGTAGATATGCCTAGCAATGGTATAGGAGGATCATATTCTTAGATCTACATTTAGTCTTTTGAGGAACCTCTGTACTGATTTCCACAATTGCTGCACTAAATGTATACGCCCACCAGTATAAATGTATAAGGGTTTCCCTCACCTCCACGTCCTTGCCAGCATTGTCGTTTACTTGTTGTAGATCAATTCTTTGTGCATTTTGGTCATTTATATACCCTTTGAGACATACATTTGATTTTATTTCATATGCCCATTCATTAATTGTTCTTCTGGTATTTAATTTTTGAGTTCTGTATATATTTTGTATATTTTGTTGAATGAGTAGTTTTTCTCCCATTTTGTAGGCTGTCTCTTAATGCTACAGATTGTTTTGCTGTGTAGAACCTTCTTAATTGGATGCAATCCCATCTGTCAGTTCTTCCTTAGCTATGTCTATTTTCTACCTATGTCATTTCATATATTTTGCTGTAGTTTCAAAATTTCAGGTCTTAAACTAGAGTCTTTGATGCATTTTGAATTATTTTTTGAAGAATGATGTACAGGGCTCTACTTTCAGACTTCTGTATGTACATATTCAGTTTTCCCAATACCATTTGCTTCTCCAACATATGTCTACCAGGTATCAAAACCATAGCTATGTGTGTCTATTTCTGGACCTAATCTTCTATTCCATTGGTCAGTTTATCTGTTTCTGTACCAGTACTATGCTGTTTTTGTAATTGTGGTTCTGTAGTATCATTTGTAGTAAAATAACCTCCAGCATTGCGCTTCTGCTCAGTATTGCTCTGGCCATCCAGGATTTTTATCCTTCCATGTGAATTTTCAGATTTTTCTCTTTTTGTGAGGAATATCATTGGGATTGGGGAGATTGCACTGAACTGTAAATAGCTTTCAGTAATGCAGCCATTTTAACAGTATTGAATCTGTCAAGCTGTGAACATGGAAGATTTTCCCACCTTATGTTTTATAGTTGTCATTGTAGGGGCTGGGAAGGTGGCTCAGAGGTAGAGCGCTTGCCTTGCATGCATGAGGCCCTGGGTTCGATTCCTCAGCACCACATAAGCAAAAAGAAAAAAGCAGGAAGTGGTTCTGTGGCTCAAGTGGTAGCGTGCTAGCCTTGAGCTGAAGAGCTGAGGGACAGCGCTCAGGCCCAGAGTTCAGGCTCCACGACCGGACCCAAAAAATAAAAATAAAAATATAGTTGTCATTGTAGAGGTCTTCCATACACTTATTTTATTCTTAGGTTGGTTGTTTGTGGGGGGTGTTGGTTTGTGTTTTGTGGTTGGTTTGGTTTAGTTTTTTTTGCTGGTCCTAGGGGTTGAATTCTGGGCCTGGGCACTGTCTCTGAGCTTCTTCTGCTCAAGGTGAGCACTCTACCATTTGAGCCACAGCACTTCTGGCTTTTTTTTTTTTTTGAGTAGTTTATTAGAGATAAGAGTCTCACAGACTTTTCCTACCCAGGCTGACTTCGAACTGTGATCCTCAGATCTCAGCCTCCTGAGTAGTTAGGATTACAAGCATGAAGCCACCAGTGCCCAGCTGTTGTGGGGTTTTTCTTTTGGGGGTGTTGTTTATTTTTAATATTGAAGTAGGAATGTTTTCTGCTTTCTTTCTCATCCCATTTGTTGTTGATATATAGAAAAGCCTTTGGTTTTTGTAGTTGACTTTATATCTTTCTAGAACTTTTCTGAAAGTTGTTTATCAGATCTAACAGCCTTTTGGTAGTCTTTTAAGTATAGGATTATATCATCTGCAAAAAGGGATGATTTGACTTCTTTCTTTCCATTGTGTATTTTATATACTTGTCTTGTTGCTCTGACCAGGAATTCAACTGCTGTATTGCGTAAGAGTGGACAAAGCAGACATCCTTGTCTCATTCCTGACTTAAAAGCCAATACTTGCAGTTTTTCCCCCATTTAGTGCTATGTTGACCCTAGGTTTGTCATATGTAGCTTTTATTATGTTGAAGTAGTTTCCTTTTACTCTACTCCTTCTTTCTTCAAGGCTTTTATCAGGAAAGGATGTTGAATTTTATCCAAGATTTTTTCAACATCTGTTGAGATAATCATGTAATTTTCTTGTCCTTTGTTCTGTTTATGTGCTTTATTACATTTATTTTGTGTATTGAGCCATCCTTTGTGTGCCAGGAATGAAGCCAACTTGACTATGGTGTATGATCTTTTTAAAGTACTCTAAGGTACAAGTATTTCATGAAGAATTTTTGTATCTATATTCATCAAGGAAGTTGGTCCATAATTTTCTTTTTTGTTGTTGTGTCCTTAGCCAGAGTTCATACCAAATATTTAAATGTAGTAAAAATCTATTGTAAATATCAGCTACCTCCTTCAAGGTAATTGAGTGGAAATTAGAGTATTTATAGTGTAACCTTGTCTTTTAAAAATGTTAAAAGTGGGGATGGGAAGGTGGCTCAATGGTAGAGCGCTTGCCTTGCATGCAGGAGGCCCGGGGTTCAATTCCTCAGTACCACATAAGCAGAAAAAGCCAGAAGTGATGCTGTGGCTCAAGTGGTAGAGTGCTACACTTGAGCTGAAGAGCTGAGGGACAGCGCCCAGGCCCAGAGTTAAGGCCCTACAACCGACAAAAAAAAAAAAGTTAAAAGTAAGGCCTGGCACCAAGACAAAATTATGTCTGTAATTCTTGCTACTCATGAGGCTGAGATCTAAGAATTGCCGTTTGAAGCTAGCCTAGGCAGGAAAGTCTGTGAGACTCTTTATCTCCCATTAATCACAGAAAAAGCTGGAAGTGGCACTCTGGCTCAAGTGGTAGAGTGCTAGCCTAGAGCAAAAGGAGCTCTGGGAGAATGCTCAGGCCCAAAATTCAAGCTCAAGGACCAGGGGGGGGGAAAATTAAAAGTATATGTAATAACGTTTTAAAAAAAGTAATAAAAAAAAGGAAGATGGGGAAATGGAAAGGGAAGAGGTGTGATATGATGGGAAAAGTATGTTTTGAAGATACCAGAATAATTCAGAGAACACGAACATGTACAGAGAAAGACAGAAAAGATAAAGACACAACAAGAGTATTTCTTCCTTGGAAAGAGTGGCTTCTTCCCCAGACTTTTTTAAAGTCTGAACAGGTTGGGCCGGAGAGGCCTGTCTGGGGATTTAGCTCGATGGCAGAGTGCCAGCCCAATAACTTTGCAAGACTCTAAGCCGGGACCCTCGGCAGCATGCAGACAGAAAATGCTGTTTGCAAGCTCCCTCTTATAAGAGGGCTGGCCTCCTGTGCGGGACTCCTAAGCTGCTGGTGGCTCCTGGCTTACTCACCACAGCCCCTACTCCACTCACCGCAACTTCTGCCTCTCTGAACTTGAAAGTCATCCGACCTCAGGCTTACCAACTTGCTCCCCATGCAATTTGACTCTGGCTTTAACTTAGATTCTCACGTTGCTTAGGGTCATACCAATTATCACTTGGCTTCCCACTCACAAAGAATGCACTGCAAGCTAGTAGCGTTTCGGATCTGATTTTTGATTCATGGAGTTCCTGCCTCAGTGTAGTTGGTGCTGCTTCCCACCTTGCTCCCAGTTGCCCACAGACAGTAATTCCTGGTAGTGGTTGGCCTCTGATCTGGACCTTCAAAACTCACCGGTTTTCTGGCAATTTGGCTTCTTGTTGCTTCTCATTCATCGTCTTGCTTCCCTCCTGACATAATTTAAGTATTGTCCTGATGCTCTGTTGAAAAATATTTGGCATTCATAACTAATCCAGAAGTCTGTTGTATACTATCCATTATATTTACAGAATGAAACATCAAATAATTCTGTAAAACCAATCATGAGAGTGTATATGTGTGCACGTGCTTGCACGCTCAAGCTGCTGCTGCTGCTGCTGCTGCTGGTCCTAGGGCTTGAAGTCAGGGTTGGCAGTGAGCTTTTTTGCTTAAGGCTAACATTCTACCACTTGAGTCCCAGTTCCACTGTTTTGGTGGGTTTTGGAGCTAAGAGCCTCATGAAATTTACTTCCTGGGCTGGCTTTGAACCACCATCAGATCTCAGCTTTAGAGTAGTTAGGATTACAGATGGGAGTCACTGGCAAAACCCATCTATTTTATTTATTTTTTGGGGGGGATCCGGTCGTGGGGCCTGAACTCTGGGCCTGGGCACTGTCCCTCAGCTCTTCAGCTCAAGGCTAGCGCTCTACCACTTGAGCCACAGTGCCACTTCCAGCTTTTTTCTTTTTGCTTATGTGGTGCTGAAGAATCAAACCCAGGGCCTCAGGCATGCAAGGCAAGCGCTCTACCACTGAGCCACCTTCCCAGCCCAACCCATCTATTTTATAACAGCCTCGGCAGTTATATATTTGGCCCAGCTAGCTGGGTACGAGTGGCTCATGCCTATAATCTTAGCTACTCAGGAGGCTGAGATCTGAGGATCACGGTTCAAAGCCAGCCCGAGCAGGAAAGTTCGTGAGACTCTTATCTCCAATAAACCACCAGAAAACAGGAAGTGGTGCTGTGGCTCAAGTTGTAGAGTGCTCGCCTTGAGCTGAAGAGCTGAGGGACAGTGCTCAGGCCCAGAGTTCAAGCCCCACGACGGACCCAAAACAAAAATTGGGCCCAGCAAACCCTTTTTTTTCATCTAATTTATGCACTAGCATGCTCTCGATTTACATATGAGGAAACTAAGGTTCAAAAAGAGATCACTTATCCAGAGCCACAGAGACAGTAAAGGTTGAGCTGTGATTTAAATAGCTATGTGCTTGGTCTTAAGATGGAACATTAACAGCATAGGCGGTCTTCAACTTCTATACCATCCACAAACATAAATAGTGCTGGTGACCTTGTCTTAACTATTTGTCTTTTGATCTGGCTTTCTTCTACTGGAGTCTTTCCAGAAGCTTTTTTCATATGAGCCATCCAATGCCATCAAGGCCACTTCCTCCAGCCCTCTGCCCATTGTTAGTAGAAGTTCATTCTTGGGGCATTCAGGGTCTCTGTGCAACTGAAGATTTACACACTTGCAGTGCCTCTCATTGTCTAGGCTTAAGGTTGGGAGATATGGGGGTAGTTGGTGTGTATGGTAGTTATATAGGTTTACCTAAGCTGGCCTGGGAGGTTAACGGCCATTTGTGGCATTGCTTCTGTCAAGGGAAACTAACGTGAAGAAATTTTGGAACCCAACCCCTCCATATGTTGATGACCTTTGCACTTTTTGTCCCCCCAAGTGAGCATGCACCTTGGAGTCAGGGATCAATAACCCAAACAACCTAAAAGAACAGTGCTGGATTAGTGTGCTTTCAAGTCTGATAAAAGACAAAACAAAAAAATAAAACTGGTCAATTAATGTTTCTTTCTTTGTTTAGAGATGAGCATCAGGATTTTAAGGATGAGCAAAGGCGTCTCAAGAAACTCCGTGGAAAGGGGAAACCAAGGAAAGGAGAAGGAAAAAGAGCATCAAAAAAGAAATAGTATTGTCCCATCAAGAAAGGAAATTTCTTCTTACTGACTCAGGGGGAGGTATATCAGCATCTTTCCACATACTGGAGGAATGTCATCTTTAATGAAAGTTATTTGGAGAGACACAATCATCTCATGTTGAAGCCCAATCCAGTTATTAACACATTCTAATTCTGCAAAATTAGTGTTCCCTTAGTTTTGTAATCTGGCCTTACCGAATTCCACAATGGAGCAAGTAAATTATTGTCTAATGACACGTTTAGCATGGAGGTGGGATGCTGGGGGGCTCGGAGAACCTCATTAAATGAGTATTTTGAATTTTCTCGTTCTTCCTTTCTTCCTCAACCCTAACCTTTCATCTTTCTGGGTATTCAGACACTGTCTCTACCACCAAGCTTACAAACTTTATTGCCATCTCCACCTACTTCTTTGAGGCTCATCTAAGTGGGATCAAAGGCTTTCTTGGGAAAGGGAGTATTCAATGCCTACTGTATACATGGTTCTGGAGCCCTGGGAATACAGCAGTTAAAAGAAAGTCTCTGCATCATGGAACTTCCAGTCTTGGAGACAGACAAATTACATAAAATGGCATTAGAGGGATGATAATGTGGCTCAGTGATCGAGTGCTTGCCTAGCATGCATGAAGCCCTGAGTTTTATTCCTCAGTGCCACATAAACAGAAAAAGTCAGAAGTGGTGCTGTGGTTCAAGTGGTAGAGTGCTAGCCTTGAGCAAAAGAAGCTCAAGGACAGTGCTTAGGCCCTGATTTCAGGCCCCGGGACTGGCAAAAAAAAAAAAAAAAAGCTGGGTGCCTGGTGGCTCACACCTGTAATCCTAGCTACTCAGGAAGCTGAGATCTGAGGATTGAGGTTCAAAGCCAGCCTGGGCAGGAAAGTATGAAACTCTTATCTCCAATAAACCACCAGAAAACAGGAAAGGGCACTGTAGCTCAAGTGGTGGAGCGCTAGCCTTGAGCTGAAGAGCTGAGGGACAGTACCCAGGCCCAGAGTTCAAGCTCCACGACCAACACTCATACACAAAATAAATGTATGCTACTGGAGGAAGAACCAGACTTCTTTTTTTTTTTTTTTTTTGGTCAGTCATGGGACTTGAACTCTGGGTTTGGGTGCTGTCCCTGCTCTCTTCATCTTCTTTGGGTGCTGTCCCTGCTCTCTTCATCTCAAGGCAAGCGCTCTACCATTTGAGTTACAGCACCACTTCTAGTGGTTTATTGGAGATAAGAGTCTCAGGACTTTCCTGCCCAGGCTGGCTTTAAACCTTGATCCTAAGATCTCAGCCTCCTGAGTAGCTAGGATTATAGATGTGAGCCACCAGTGCCCAGCTAAATATTGCAGGGTTATATATTTATTTATTTATTAGAGCCAGACTTCTGTCAGAGGATGGATGGAAGGATGGATGATGCATGGATGGATGCATGGATGCATGAGTGGTCAGTCAGAAGCAATCCTCCTAAATGAGGAAGTTTGAAAAAGGCCTCCTCATTCTTCTCATCCTCACCCTAGAGATGACTCACTTTCAGTCTATTGAAAGTATATTCCTGTGCTAATAAACTTCCTCTCACTTTCATTAAATAAAAGATATGCTTTTCCTGGAGAAAAAGATACTGAGCCATGGGAGGGAAAAATAACATTTTGAGAGAAGTCTTTGAAGGATAGAGAACGCCATTTGCAAAGCCCTTAGGTAAGAATTTTTGTTTCAAAATGTTTGAACCGACTGGTTCATAGTTAGCCACAAGGATACAGGCCAGACTGAAGGGCTTTGCAGGGTCTGTAAAAAAAAAAAAAAAAAAGCTGGGACTTGCTGGACACAGATGGCTCCCACCTGTACTCCTAGCTACTCAGGAGGCTGAGATCTGAGGATCCCGTTCAAAGTTCTGGGAGGAAAGACATCTCCAGTTAATCACCAAAAAGCTGGCAGTAGAGCAATGGCAGATGTAAACCACTGACTCAGTCCGGCATTTACTTAAGAGAGGGAGGAAAAGGAAGAAGTCACAGGAACACACCAGGTGTATACAACTGCCTCACAGGAGGATTTGCATTTTCCAATCCCTCCAAGACAGGAGAGGCCAGCATTTGCATTTGTTCCTGGGCTCTCCCTGCTGCCTCTCTCACTTCTGTTACCTGCCTGGCTTTCTGGTAGACTTCCAAGTGTTTCGATTTGTGTCAGGATTTCACTGAAGCAGCTAAATCCAGGCAACAGCCCGGGACCTGGGGGCCCTCAGAGAGGTGCTATCTGCCTGATTTGCTTGATATGAAAGGAACAAGGTCCCCAGAGATGCTGTTCTGAAGCCCTGAGTGCCACCTAGGCAGCCATGTTCCAGGACCCACAGATACCTACAAGTGCACACTGATAAAAGAGGGGGAAATATGTTGAAGAAGAAACTAGCAGGTTCTTCTATAAACAATAAAATGTCCATTTTCTTTGTCTCTTAAAATTTTGTGACAAGGGTTGGGAAGGTGGCTCAGTGGTAGAGCGCTTGCCTTGCATGCATGAGGCCCTGGGTTCGATTCCCCAGCACCACATAAGCAAAAAGAAAAAAAGCCAGAAGTGGCGCTGTGGCTCAGTGGTAGAGCGCTAGCCTTGAGCTGAAGAGCTGAGGGACAGCGCCCAGGCCCAGAGTTCAGGCCCCACGACCGGACCCAAAAAA